CCCCACACTCATTTTACTAAACCCAATCTTACACTGAGTTTTCCAAACCCAACCCCACAGTCAGTTTACCAAACCCAACTTTACACTCAGTTTACCAAACCCAACCCCATCCTCGGTTTACCAAACCCAATGTTACACTCAGATTACTAAACCTAACTTTACACTCAGTTTACCAAGCCCAACCTTATACTCAGTTTACCAAACACAACCTCACAATTAGTTGACCAAACCCAACCCCACACTCAGTTTACAAAACCCAACCCCACACTCAGTTTACCAAACCCAACCCCACACTCAGCTTACCAAACCCAACCCCACACTCAGTTTACCAAACCCAACCCCACACTCAGCTTACCAAACCCAACACCACAATAAGACCAAAAAAAACAACCAAACACGCAGACTACCAAAACCAACCCCACACTTAGTTTGCCAAACCCAACATTCTCATTTTACCAAACCCAACCTTTAACTCTGTTTACCAAACCCAACCTCATCATTGACAGTTTACCAAACCCAACCCCACACTCAGTTTACCAAACCTAACCCCACACTTAGTTTACCAAACCCAACATACTCATTTTACCAAACCCAACCTTCCACTCAGTTTACCAAACACAACCTCATCAGGCACAGTTTACCAAGCCCAACCTAACACTCACTTTACCAAACCCAACCTACACTCAGTTTACCAAACCCAACCTTGCCGTTCGAATTCTCAGCTGAATTATTCGTTATTTTAAAATCAAACATTTCAGGGACAATAATGTTGTCCCGAATTTAATTTTTTTTATTTCCCTGCTCAGAAGCAAGCGGGACATTAAAATAAAGTTATACTTGAAATCAAAAAAGAATTGTATGCAGTCAGAGTTATGAATTTAAGTTTTCGTTCTATTAAAACCAAATCTAAAGTTTAAATGTTAAACCTTTGTAATTTTATGATTTTGTTGACAAAAGATAAATGTTGGATAATAAATGTAAAGATTGTTCAGCAGGAACTTTATGGACTGTCAGACACTGAAAGTATTCTAATCTATATAAATTTATGTTTATTGTCATTTCTCAAAAAAAAACATTTCAAAATGAAAAGTAATTGAGTTTTTGCCGCAAACTCTGATTTTCCAATCTTTATTCTAACACAATGACGTGAACCTATGAATTAATTAATTAATTTTTTATTTCAGTTTAAGATATTAAAGGTTTACACTATCAGGTTGCAAAGATATAATTATAAGAAAATCAGAGTTTTTGGCAAAGAACCAATTCCTCTGTTCTTTTATTGGCATAATGTACAGTGTTACTTGTTTGATGTTTTACTTTTGTATTCATCCTGTTAATGATAAGAACAATATTTTTAGATATCTGAGTGCAACAAATCCAACATATGTTTATACAGTACAGTACACAATTGCGTCTTTTACGATGAAAAATGTGTTTAAAGGGACTGTAAGCGTAATTTTAAATGACCCTTTATGCAAAGACAGTGCTGCCCGATTTACAATAGTACCATTAAACATTAAAGGGAGTGTCCGCGAAAAATAAAGCGGGTATAGGCTTATGGTGAAAAATAATCGCTTTTGATCGCTATTAATCTTATTTCTATCTATTGCGTCATAAGGAGAAAATTATCAAAAAAACTACTTATACTGAAAAACGTTGCGTACACACAAATTCTGAACGTTGCAATATACGACTCGGATTGTAAAATAATCAAGCAAATCATTCAGATATTACAACCTATAAACATCGATTATTTTTCGACGCATTCGTATATGGATAATATTTTTCGCCGTAAGCCTATACCCTCTTTCATTTTTTGCAAACACTCCTTTATCATGATCAAAAATGTGGAAAAAAAGGTATTTTCAAACTCGAAAATTGTTACGTCGTTGAATTTCTAAATTGTATTAATTAAGCTAGAAATGCAGAGTAACCCCAAATAAACAAAAAAAACATATTTAAATAAACAAAATTTTGGATATCTAATTAATACTTGATCAGACAAAGCTTTTAGGAGTAAAGTTGTCAATCGGCCATTGCCATCTTTGCATGGCACTCCTGTAAGCAGAGTCCATTACCGCCTGATCCAATTAGGGTTCAGTCATGTGTTTGTTGTCTATTCTGAGCCGATGAAATATTATGGCGGTAACATCTATCTTTCTATCTAGCCCATTATCCAATCATAGATATGAATCCTTCAATCGGCGCCCCCTGTAGTTTTTTTTTCATAACTCAAAAAGTATTGGTCTGAGGCTGGTGAAATTTTCTGACTTTTCCTACATATCCAAAGCCCTCCCTTTAGGCCTAAAAACGGGCTTTAATACTAACTGCCTGAGTCCTCAGGCACACTGCCTGAATGACTGATTTTTCCTGTAACAAACTAAATCTTTGTTTTGACCCACTTCCACTTGTCAGATTTTGACAAAATTTAGCTTTTTGGAAAGCCTTTGACATAAGGAAACGAATTGCACAAGTTTCGCGAAAAAAAAATTGCAGATTTTTTGCAAACAACCTGTCAAAGGAAATTTGCACATTTTTAGTTTTTCTTGATTAAAAATCAGGTTATTTAAAATTTTGCAAAAATTTTTGCATATTTGAAATGGCATGGTCAAGGGCTTTTCAAAAATGTATTATTTTTCATTTTTTGGAGAATTTTTTTTGCGAACATTTTTACTATATAACTGGATTTTTCAATAAAAAATTCAATTTTTGCAAATTTGCAAATTTTTTTGCCCCCCAGCAGAGATAGGGTTAAACCCTGGCAGCGTGTGTGCACTGTACAGTACCTTTTAAACCCTGGCAAGCATGTGCACTGTACAGTTCCTTTTAAACCCTGACAAACATGTGCACTGTACAGTTCCTTTTAAAGCCTGGCTAGAATTTGCACTGTACAGTCCCTTTTCAGCCCTGGAAAGCATGTGCACTGTACAGTTCCTTTTAAACCCTGGCAAGCATGTGCACTGTACAGTACCTTTCAAACCCTGGCAAACATGTGCACTGTACAGTCCCTTTTAAACCCTGGCAAGCATGTGCACTGTACAGTACCTTTCAAACCCTGGCAAACATGTGCACTGTACAGTCCCTTTTAAACTCTGGCAAGCATGTGTGCACTGTACAGTCCCTTTTAAACCCTGGCTGCAAGCATGTGCACTGTACAGTGGGGAACTTGGAGATATTTGTTGCATTTAACGGCAGTGTCTTTATAAATCTAGTAAAAACAAGTTTGTTTTGGAGGTGTGTCAAGGCCCCTGTCCCCTCCCCCTCCCCCCTCCTGTAAAAAACTTGATTTTCAACTTTTATTGCGTTTTTTTAATCCCCAAATGCCTTTTTTTGTTCGCTGTAAGCTGTAACGTTGTGTCTGTTTAAAAATTAAAATTATAAAATGGTTTAAACTTTATTTCTCTAGTTTTAGAATAGTTAAAAATAAATTAAATTCCCCCTCCTCTCCCCCCCTCCCCCATCCAGATGTAATATAAAACTTGATGAGAACCAGAGATATAAAGAGAAATAAACCTGTCTTAATAGTTGGATTTTATAGCTAGATATCTAGACATGGGCATTTCCAGGACATTTGGGACTTCATAATGCCGAATTTAAAGAATTTGAGCCGCGGTTTAAATTTAAACCGCGGCTCAGATTTTGGTGGTTCTACTTAAATTTGTATTAATTTTTTCAAGATTTTAGCCTGCGCTCAATTGAAACCGTCTTTTGGAGTATTTGAGACGCGGCTCAAATTCATCATATTTTGAGCTCGTAATATTACTCAAGCATATAAAACAAGTCCACTTTGATCTAACTTTATCTTATTGCGACCCTAGTTAAAAGGTTTAAAGGGAACTGTTGCATAATCTAAAATAACGTAGACTCGTCATTTTAAACATGTATACATAAAGAAATTAAAAGCTCAAAGGATAAAATAAATAAAATCAATCCATTGACCATAAAAAACCTGATGCAATGTTTTTGTGAAACCTCTAAAAACTGAAATTTCTTTTATATATTTGTGTGAAAAAAGAATAAAACTTTAAAAGCTAAAAACAAACAATAAATAAGTAAAACCCTGTCTTCTTGTTAACAAGACAGTTCTTGAAATAATTCATTATTTTGTAGTTCATTGTCTGAAAGGGACTGTTAGCATAATTAAAAGTTACCCTACAATCGAAGAGTATTCACAACAGTTCCCTGCGAATTGTTGGTGTGGGAATTTCTCTATTCAGCTCTTGACTGCAGCAGAGACAAGAATGGAAATATATTTGTTTTCAAAATTCAACACAATAATAAAGCTTTCTCATGTTTACTCCTAATGTAAGCATATTGAAATGCTGAAACATTGTGTACAGTCCCTTTAATACATTTCCTGCTGAAACATTGTGTACAGTCCCTTTAATACATTTCCTGCTGAAACATTGTGTACAGTACCTTCAACATATTTCCTGCTGAAACATTGTGTACAGTTCCTTTAATACAATTCCTGCTGAAACATTGTGTACAGTACCTTTAATATATTGCCTGCTGAAACATTGTGTATTGTTCAATTGTGTTAACAAGACTCTTATAGACTTTTATACAAATAAAAAATAATTGGTTTTTGAACCATAATTCAATTGTGCAGGACGCTGCTTTTACTTTCTACTCCTTTCAAACTTTTAAAAACAGTTACTATATTTCTTCTGGGTGCTTTGAAATTAAAAAGCTTACAATGAAAAACATGATTGCATAGAAAGGAATTGAGTCATTGTGACAAACTCTGATTTTCTAATCTTTTTCTTTCTGATCTGATTTTCTATATTTGTTTAGACTATGTTAAAAACTATGTTAATATCGAGTTATCAGTTAATTGAGAATTGAGATACATGAAAACAGATATTTCCCAAAATGTATAGGATAAATAGTTATTTTTATAAAATGTGTTCAATTCTCCCATCTATATTTTCGAAATCCAGTGCGCCTGAAGTTTGTTGTGCAAAGGTGGGAAAACTTGATTTAGTAATTTAAAAACGGCGCATTTTCTTGTTGATCTAGCCACAGATTTAACATCTACCAGACAACCTTCAGTTCTTCTTAAATATCCACGCGGATTCCGAGTAGGATTTTGAATTTTTTCCTGGATTTTCTTATTTTTAAATGTGTTTCCGGATCATTTCTCATGACAGGCATAAGCCTTGAAACCTTCAAAATTCCTAAAACAAAGTATGTGGCAAGAAAGGATTTCATCTAAACAACGAAGAAAACAAAATATATATTTTCTCAAAATTTTACTTATAAATGTGTTTATACGAGGTCAGAGTTCATAAAAAGCATTAAGTAGTATAACTATAGTAGTCGTTGCAGATATCAATACAATGAAGACGACTTTCGATTTCATTTTTTGATTGCATCCAGACTTTCAAATAGTATGTAATACAGATACACATCCACATGGAAACAAAAAGAGAAGCTGTCAATTAAAAAAAGCTTCTCTTTAATTATTTTTAAACTTGTAATTCGAAAAAGCATGTTATTCACAAAAACTAAAATGAAAAAGTCGTCTTGATTGTATTGATATAATCGCCGACCACTGTAGGAAGAGATAGATAGCTACATCATCTCTAGTGTACGCTATAGTAGAAGTCAACCAGTCCGAATCTTGTTCAGCTTTTAGTACATTCCGAAAACACTTTTTTTCTAAATAAAACATTTTATGAAAACTAAACTTTGAAAAAAATCTAAAATCCTTATTTTAGGATAAACATATCAGATAGAATGACGAGCTCTAATAAGGTAAAAACTAATTAATATTTAGTTAAACAAAAATATATATTTGTGTACAGATTTACGATATCGATTTACAGTACAGGTATTGTTCAATTCACAGTGCACAGGTATAGTTTAATTTACGGTGAACAGGTGTTATTTAATTTACAGTGCACAAGCTGTTGATGTTGATGTTGATGTTGATGGTGTATTATCTTTCAGTTTGATTTTGTATTATCTATAAGGTTGATAGCGTATTATCTGTAAGGTTGATTTTGTATTTTCTATAAGGTTGATAGCGTATTATATGTAAGGTTGATGGTGTATCATCTATAAAAGTTGATGGTGCATTATCTTTAAGATTGATTTCGTTTTATCCGTAAGGTTAATTTGTATTATCTATACAATTGATTGTGTATTGTCTATAAGGTTGATGATTTATCATCTATATGGTTGACGGTTTCTTATCTATAAGGTTGATGGTGTATTACCTATACGGTTGATGGCGTATTATCTATAAGGTTGATGGTGTATTATCTATAAGGTTGATGGTTTATTATCTATAAGGTTGATAGTGTATTACCTATAAGGTTGATGGCGTATTATCTATAAGGTTGATGGTGTATTATCTATAAGGTTGATGGTGTATTACCTATAAGGTTGATTGTGTATTATCTATAAGGTTGATGGTTTATTATATATAAGGTTGATGGTGTATTTTCTATAAAATTGATTGTGTATTATCTATAAGGTTGATAGTGTTTTATCTATAAGATTGATTGTGTATTATCTTTAAGATTGATGGTGTATTATATGTAAGGTTAATGGTGTATTATATATAAGGTTGATGGTGTATTATCTTTAAGATTGATGACGTATAACTATAAGATTGATGGTGAATTATCTACAAGGTTGATGGCGTATTATCTATAAGGTTGATGGTGTATTATCTATAAGGTTAATGGTGTATTATCTATAAGGTTGATGGTGTTATATCTATAAGGTTGATGGAGTATTATCTATAAGGTTAATGGCATCTTATCTATAAGGTTGATGGCGTATTATCTATAAGATTGATGGTGAGTTATCTATGGCATCTCATCTATAAGGTTGATGGTGTATTATCTGTAAGATTGGTGGTGAGTTATCTATGGCATCTTATCTATAAGGTTGATGGCGTATTATCTATAAGGTTGATGGTGTATTATCTATAAGGTTGATGGCGTATTATCTATAAGATTGATGGTGAGTTATCTATGGCATCTTATCTATAAGGTTGATGGTGTATTCCGGATGAGGTCCCTGGGGACTGCAACGCCTGGTATCTCGGACCAGTATGCGGATGGGAAGGCAGCAAAAGTGTGGCAACTATATATAGGTATAATCATCGGGATATAAAAGGAACTCCCATAGATTTGTTTACAAATAAAGTGTACTGCAGAATAGGTATTGTTTACATGGCCCCCAGGAAAAGCATAGAAGTTTCTCTTACTTACCGTTCAGTTCTAAGGTATAGTAAAGCCATTTGACAGGAAGTCGTGAAAAATTAAAAACTCGATTTTGTAATCCCATAACAAAATAGTAAATCACAAGTGAACATGTAATCCCAACATAAAATGTGTAAATGCACAATTGAACATGTAATCCAAACATAAAATGTCTAAATGCACAATTGAACATGTAATCCCAACATAAAATGTGTAAATGGACAATTGAACTTGGAATCCAAACATAAAATGTCTAAATGCACAATTGATCATGTAGTCCCAATTTAAAATGTGTATATGCACAAGTGAACTTGAAATCCCAATTGTGAATGTGTAAATTCACAATTGAACAATAAATAATCATTTACCATAAAACTTTGTAATCACAAAATTTGTTGAGTAATCGCACAGTTAACTTTGTAATTAACATTTAACTGTTTAATCGCATAATAAATCGCATCGCATATACTGATATTTATGAATAAATTAACTTCAATATTTTATGTTATCCATATATGATCTACAGAAACATATTGGAAATATTTATATTACATTTCGGTATTGGATCAAAGCTTTTACCAGCTGAAAGTACTGGATGGTTTTATTAGAAAATTATAAATATTTAACCAATTAATCTGTTCAACAAGAATAAAAAAGTATTTTAATGGAAAAGATAAAACATTAATTTTTTAGATACGCAGCTTAATTAATTATTATTATAAAGATTTACTCACACACAAACATATAGATATATATATAAATGATCTAGTTTAAATTTGTTTAAATAATTTTGATAAATAGTTTTACAAAAGAAAGAAAAAAAAATATGCAAATTATGCACAAATAGACGACATTGATCATCACTCATTACATAACATATTTATCATTTCAGTTATTACGTAATCATCAAATCCTTCAACAGATTATTATTCGCTCTTGTATTTAAAAGTTCTTGTAAAACCGGAACTATCCATGCATGGTCCAATTGTATGGCTCTAGTATTAAATTGATAACAATGTTCAAATAAAGTTTTAGTGCATATTTACTTAAAAATGCACAAAATAACAAATAAAGGAATCTTTGACACAAACTCTGACTTCCTAATCTCTGTATCTTGCAACCCAATATATATAGTAGATCTTTCCTATTTCAAACTATGTATTCTTCTGTTAAACCTAAATAATCGAAGTTTGAAAAATAAAAGGTTTACACCAATAGGTTGCAAAGAGGGATTAGAAATTTGAGGTTATTAGACTATAAACGCGGAAAAGCTATTCTTACATATATTTCTTTGATACTATATCTCAAAACAGTAAATGGTAGATTTAGTAAAACGAAAATTTAAAACTAGCTTGTCTGGCAAAAGCATTTTGCAAAATAATTTCTGTAGAAAAGTGATAATGGTCAAGGACATTGTTAAACAATATTATTTGTTTAGTTGTAATTCCTGATTTCGAAATTGGGAGGCTAAGTACATTTATAAATATGTAAACAAACCCTTTTATAAATACTGATCAGGTGACACAGCCACTAGAACCTCACAGTACAAAAACTTCCTGGTCAACTTGCTCAAGGAGAATGGAGTAGAACGTGTACTAGATGCAGCATGTGGTACTGGAGTAGATAGTATTATGCTCATAGAACAGGTACTTGTAAGAGGGGAATTTAGAGAATCTCTCGGTATGAATTTTTTCAGTCCCTTTCAGCCTGAAAGGGAGTTCAAAGTGTACAAATCATGTAAATGTTAACAAATTATATGCAGTAGAGTACATTAATATACAGTATGTTCCCTAGACTATTCATTTCAATTTCGAATTTTTTAAAGCTGTTAAATAAACTTTATAATGAATTAGGTGAATAAAAAACATCATTTGATTTATAGTTATAAAGGAAAATCATCGTTTGTAAAGTGAAATGATCATTAGTCAATTATGAAACCAGCCTATTTCATAATTTGGTTTTCTTTTAACATTAATTTTAGATTTTCTATAAAATGATATTCCAGCGCCCAACAGGTTATATAGCATAAATATGTGAAGTACACCTGCAGTATGGAAACAGTACAACAAAATGGCCGTTTTACACTTTTTTCTAGTAAATTCCTCTCTAATATATATTCTATTCTCTTTGAGTACAACATTTACTAGATGCAGCATGTAGTACTGGAGTAGATAGTCTTATGCTCATAGAACAGGTAATTGTAGTATAGTAAAACGTGTACTAGATATTGAACAGGTACATGAAGAATAGTACAACGTGTACTAGATATTGAACAGGTGCATGAAAAATAATACAACGTGTACTAGATATTGAACATGTACATGCAAAATAGTAAAACGTGTACTAGATATTAAATAGGAACGTGTAGAATAGTACAACGTGTATTCGATATTGACAGGTAAGTGTGAAATAGTAAAAATTGTACTAGATAAATAACAGGTAAACGCAAAAAGTACAACGTGTACAATATATACAACAGGTACTTTAAAAATAGTATAATGTTTACTAGATTTAGAACTGATACATGTAGAATAGTACAAAATGTACTAGATATAGAGCAGGTACATGTAGAATGGAACAGCGTGTACTAAATATAGAACAGATATACGTAGAAAAGTTCAACGTGTACTATATATAGAACAGGTAAATGTAGAATAGTACAACGTGCACTAGGTATAGAACGGTTACGTATAGAATAGTACAACGTGCACTAGATACAGAACAGGTGCATGTAGAATAGTACAACGTGCACTAGATATAGAACAGGTATATGTAGAATAGTACAACGTGCACTAAATATAGAACATGTACATGTAGAATAGTACAAGGTGCACTAGATATATAACATGTACATATAGAATAGTACAAAATGCACTAGATACAGAGCAGGTAAATGTAGAATAGTACAACGTGTACTAGATATAGAGCAGGTACATGTAAAATAGTACAGCGTGCACTAGATATAGAACAGGTACATTAAAGTATTACAATGTGTATTAGGTACAGAACATGTTTATTGTCCATTTATATAAAGTGTTTGAACCAGGAAAGTACATTTAGCATCAAAGATTCTGATTACTCGCAAAAAACTCAGTGTTTGTAATATTTGAAATCCGATAATGTAAATTATAAGATATTTGAATCTTTGATGGTGCACTTAAACTCCAGTTTGATTTATTAAGATTTAAAGAAAAGAGTTTGATGCGATTGTTCAGTTTCTTAAAAGGATTGTAAAGTAAAAATTCCCCAGATATTTGATCAACATTTGTGTAGGGGTTCTCGTTGACCTCCTCCGACGCCTCGGACAAGATGTTGAAGAAGGCCTACAAGACTAGATGGGAGAGAAGGAAGGAACCAGCTTTCGACAGGTAAAGCCTGCAGCCATTCATCCATTTTGGCATTCTATGTACATGCATGCATTCTATTATAATTCATTCATGCATTCTATTATAATATATCCAAGCATTCTATTATCATCTAATTATGCACCCAATTATAATATATTCGATCATGTATCCTATTATCATCTATTATCATCTATTCATGTATTCTATTATAATATATCCAAGCATTCTATTATCATCTAATTATGCACCCAATTATAATATATTCGATCATGTATCCTATTATCATCTATTATCATCTATTCATGTATTCTATTATAATATATTCATGCATTCTATTATCATCTATTATCATCTAATCATGCATTCTATTATAATTCATTCAAGCATTCTATTATCATCTATTAATGCATTCTATTAAAATTTATTCATGTATCCTATTATCATCTATTCATGCATTTTGTTATTATCTATTCATGTATCCATCCTATAATCTTTTCATGCATCCTATTATAATCTATTCATGCGGCCTATTCTTCTGTAATTGCTTTTTTTCAACTTTTTAATTTTTATTCTTTAAATTATAATTTGACATTATAGTCATAAAGTTATTTATATTGAATGAACTATAGCATAATTTCAAGTGGTTAACTCTCCATTTATAGAATGGCATATTTGATGCACACCCGGTATTCCCATAGAAGCTTTTTCTAATAAAAAATTAAGAAGAAATCCATATTTTTTTTCCTTTGAAAATTGATTATTGAGTTAGAAAAAATCTTTCACATTATTAATCAGATAAAGATTTAAGGGTATTGTGTGAATTGGACATGTCCCTCTTTTTTTAAATGGAGGGATATTTGAAAATACGACAAAAGCCTCTTTTATTTTTCTTTAATTTCCTAATACCATGCTAAAATGACTTTTATTATTTGATTGCTTAGTTGGTGTATAGAGGAAGGAAACTGGTTAACCCTGGACCAGGATATCTGTGTCCCTGAGGGAGGGTTCGATGCTGTTATCTGTATGGGAAATAGTTTTGCCCACCTTCCAGACTTCCACGGAGATCAGAGAGATCAAAGGTAACTAAACTGCTGCAGAAACATGTGTTGGGTCAACCAAATACTGGGTCAACTTGACGGGCTGGTCAACCGCATAATGGGTCAACTTGACGGGCTTGGTCAACCACATACCGGGCTAACTTGACGGGCTTGGTCAACCACATACTGGGTCAACTTGACGGGCTGGGTCAACCACATACCGGGCTAACTTGACGGGTTGGGTCAACCACATACTGGGTCAACTTGACGGGCTGGGTCAACCGCATAATGGGTCAACTTGACGGGCTGGGTCAACCACATACTGGGTCAACTAGACGGGTTGGGTCAACCAAATACTGGGTCAACTTGACGGGCTGGTCAACCGCATAATGGGTCAACTTGAAGGGCTGGGTCAACCACATACTTAGGTAAACTTGACAGGCTGGGTCAACCACATACCGGGTCAACAAGAGACGTTGGGTCAACCACATACTGGGTCAACTAGTCGGGCTGGGTCAACCACATACTGGGTCAACAAGAGACGTTGGGTCAACCACATACTGGGTACACTAGACGGGCTGGGTCAACCACATACTGGGTCAATTTGACGGGCTGGGTCAACCACATACTGATTCAACTAGACGGGTTGGGTCAACCACATACTGGGTCAACTTGACGGGCTGGGTCAACCGCATACTGGGTCAACTTGACAGGCTGGGTCAACTACATACCGGGTCAACTTGACAGGCTGGGTCAACCACATACTGGGTCAACTAGACGGGTTGGGTCAACCACATACTGGGTCAACTAGAAGGGTTGGGTCAAGCACATACTGGGTACACTAGACGGGCTGGGACAACCACATACTCTGTCAACTAGACGGGCAGAGTCAACCACATACTGTGTTAACTAGACGTGTTTTTATGGTAAAGACTAGACAAGCACTGTTGTACAAGTCCGGATCATGCAACTAGTGTGCATAAAAGTACAGTACACGCCAGAACCGTTACCCAGCCCGGACTGTGTACGGCACAGCCTAACAGTATAGCGAGAAAGGCGAGCCGGTGAATCTGGATATAGATGTCAAAGATCCCCTAAATAGGATACAGATAGGATTTAAATATTTGTAAATAAATAAGAGGACAGACTCACTAAAATATATTAATTGTATCTACATTCTACATAGGCCAGGTATATAATATTTCATACATTTAATGTATAATACTCAACATATAACATACATTTTAAAAGTAATGATAATAATAACCATAGTGATTATAGTCATGATAAAGATAACAACACCAATAATAATAATAATAATAATAATAATAATATTAAAACACAAAACCAATATTGTTTTATGCTTTAAACTTGAAATAAAAAAGTCTAAGTATTTTTTATGCAGTATTTCGTGACTGAATTTCCTAAAGTTCGTGAATTCTCTTTAAGTTCTAGAAGTTTAAAAAACTGCAGAGCAAAATTAAATCTAATCAATCCGTGCAAAAATTTTTTTTAGAAATGCATAATATATAAAAATATATTGTTTTAGGAAGGAATTTTTTTTAAACTCCTGACTCAAATAATTCGATTCTTTTAGTAAAAAGTTAGATTAACTTGACACATCTTTAGAAAAAAAAGCATTTAAATCTTAAGTTACCTTCCATTCTTATACAGCCATGTCTGATTCACAATTCTAAAAAAAGAAACCTTCCTAACTGTAGACTTAAAGCTGGAATCTTATAACCACTTCCTGAGTCCTCAGGCATGCTCCCAATAATGCCTTATTTTACCTAAACCAGACTAAATCTATATTTATACCTATAACTTCCAGTCCTTGGATTTCAACATTTTATAGTTTCTTAAAGAACCTAAAAAGCAGATTGAAACGAAATTTCCCAATTTTATTTTTGCAGGTTATTAAAGTAGAGCCCAAAAGATTTCCACATATGTATGTTGACACAAATCTCTTAACACAGACACAAAGATTTATTTTAAACCTACGAAATAAGGTTTCAGTAAAATAAAATATTGGTATAAAATTGTTTTTAATGTTTAATTGGGTAACTTACTAGTTTTGTGTGTCTGGGTAATTAAGGAGAATTGCTATGGATTGAGAATTATTTACTGATGTTAGGATTTGAGCATTCACTAGTTAAATTGCTTTACTGTTTTCCTTTGTCAGAGTTTAAGGTAATGCTGGAGTAAATTCTTTGGTTTTGACTGCTCCGAGATGAGGGGAAGGGTGGTAAAGACAATACAAGTGAAAGGTAGATTTATGTGCAACAATGTATTGTATGTTATACACAATGTATCACAATAAGAAAATAACCCCCCCCCCCTGCTCTAGAAGAAGGGTTAAAAGACTATAAATCAATAATCTATATAAATATTTGTTCTAGGAAATGTATAGAAAACTTCTATAAATTGGTGAGACCTGGAGGAATTTTCATCATTGATCATAGGACTGTCACAGATATTTTTCAATCTATTTCTATCCCATAATCCAATTTGTTTTTATCCTTCTAGACATATTATTATTACATAACTGCTTCTTCTTTCATGAATAACATCAATTAAAATTGACCCCCCCCCCCCTTCTCTCTTACCTGTCATCAAACCGAAATATATTGAATAATTGTGTGACAAGTTTGAATCTAGGAATTATGATTATATTTTGACCCATGGCACTGCACCTTCAAAAAATATATACTACAACAGCACTCATATTAAGGTAACATTGTTGACCATAAATCTACCTAAAGTCGTCTTTAACCAGCACCTCCCCTCTAAGAAAACCAAACCAAAGCAATAATCCGGCAATTTATCTGATCTCTGAGACAAGGAAAACACCAAATAAGTGAAACGTTTAACTAAATGAATAATAAAATCTACAAATAACTTTGCAATCCATAGTAGTTGTACTATAAACAACCGGGTTTATATTTCCAAATGTTTTAAACTAATCCATGAAATCCTCCGAACCCTAATCACTCCTTAATATCCTGTCACGACAACATCGTAAGTTATCTAATTTAACATTCAAACCCACTTTATACATCAACATTTGTTTACTATGTATGTATCTTTCTTATAGGTTTGAAATATATCCATTTAAAGGGACAGTAAAGGAAAAATGAAAGGGGGTATAGGCTGAAAGCTAATCACTTTAGCTCTTGATCGCGACCCATGAAAGTCATATCTGATGTTCATGTCTTAAGAAACTGATATAAAACTGTGTCAAATATATACAAAAATTAATATATATACAATTTTGTATAAAAGTAGTAGGTTTAAACAGATCATATTCAGAAAATATGCAACCAATCTGAAAACGATGATATCCCAGAGAAAGCTAATTGTAAATTAGGTTTACTTTTATATTTGTTATTTCTATTTTCAATAGATTTTATTCATAATATTATTTTTACGTCCGTATTACTTGACCAGAAATTCCACCAATGGCAGTGCAGTAAAGTGGTCACGTGATACAGGCGGAGACACGTGACCAGTATACTGCTCTGCCATTGGTGATAGTTCTGGTCACGTGATTTAAGTTTCAGAATTTCAAAATTTTACATATATGAATTTTCGTATAATTTTAACACAGTTTTATATCAGTTTCTCGAGACAGGAACATCAGATATAACTTTCATGGGTCGCGATCAAGAGCTAATGTGATTAGCTTTCAGCCTATACCCCCTTTCATTTTCCCTTTACTGTCCCTTTAAATGAATATTTGCAACTCTGTGTCCGAGCTAAGGAGCCTAATCAACGAATCAATTAACCAATTAACCAACCAGCCCATTAATTGTATACTGTTATGTGTAAGAAATGAATATATAACAGAAACTATTGTAGACTCATAGTCCTTGATCTTAACCTTTTTATCAGGATATAAAGACGAGTGTTCTTCATGTAAACAATCGTCCGAATCTGATCACTCTGGACTACTTCATGAATGTGGAGGGTATGGACGAGTTCTCAGAGTGTGATCAATTTAGGTAAGACGACCTCTTACACCAGTCCTATTGTTGTATGATACGAACCAGTAAACCTGGTTTAATTTTTATCTTTTATACTTTTTTGTTATTATTGGAAAATTCTATAATTTTAATGGTTGCTGAATTTCACACCAAAACACGATTTTAAATTTAATTTGAAGAAACCGAGCGTATCTCGACCTTCTGTATAAATGGACCCAGCAATAGAATACAAGACAGGGCCGGATTCATGCCATCATGGTAACTGAGGGTTTAAAGTCAATAATCCTTGACTTTGGAGCCCATTTTTACCCGCTCATGCACCTCTGACCCTTTAGTAAAAGTAAATTTAACCTAAAGTCTGACCGTGTCAACCTTGTTGCACCCGGCTAGTACTATTGATTGTCTGCTTTATTTACCCAATGTTTGGGCGATACAGTACAAACTGGGACCGGAAAGATTGACCCGGCTCGGAAATTCAAATGTACTACGGTTGCAAGTGCGCTTAATGAAGATTTTTATAGTTGCTATGGCATACTTTTTTGTTGGTATATTAAATGATAATGTATGTATATAAAATGATTTTCGCTATTTTTGACGGTTTTGAGTTATAGATAAAAGTATGATCTATAAAACGCCGATACAAACAGTTTTCAGAATGAAACCTCATGAACAATCGTAAACTGTCTCTTTATTCCTATTTGATTCTAGGTTAGAGCTGGAGCCAAATTACGTATAATAGAATCTTATTGTTGTGCAATCTTTGTCAATATCTTATTCTAAAGTAAAACTATAGAAATACAGGGCTTTACTAAATGGGATTAAAAATGTCCATTGTCCGGTTTAAATAAATGTGCCAGTTTTACAATTTTATACTTGTTTGTTGAACTATACATGTTTAATGTTTATGCCTTTTTAAAATACATACAATGATGTTTAAAGAAAGAGTTCACTGTTGAAATTGTGTCCTATTATTGCATGGGATTGTCAAAAAAATTTGAAAACTTTTACATTTATAAAATTTATAAATCTATTATATTTTGATTTAATTTTCTACAATACAAAGAAAACAATTGTATTTATAGATGAAGTTAGGGTTGACAAGGAACAGTATAGCTAGAGTATCCAATATATAGCATCCTAATAATATTCTAGTCATATATCAACTCTACATATAGTATATAAAGTAGATAAAGTAGATAAATGGAGTTAGGGTTGACAATGAACAGTATAGCTAGAGTATCCAATATATAGCATCCTAATAATATTCTAGTCATATATCAACTCTACATATAGTATATAAAGTAGATAAAGTAGATAAATGGAGTTAGGGTTGACAATGAACAGTATAGCTAGAGTATGCAATATATATAGTATCCTCAAAATATTTTAGTCATCTATCATTCCTATACTCTAGAAAATAAAGTAGATAAAGTAGATAAAATAGAGTTAGGGTTGACAATGAACAGTATAGCTAGAGTATGCAATATATATAGTATCCTCAGAATATTCTAGTCATCTATCATCTCTACATCTAGAATATAAAGTAGATAAAGTAGATAAATGGAGTTAGGGTGGACAATGAACAGTATAGCTAGAGTATGCAATATATATAGTATCCTAATAATATTCTAGTCATCTATCATCTCTACATCTAGTACATATAGTATATAAAGTAGATAAAGTAGATAAATGGAGTTAGGGTGGACAATGAACAGTATAGCTAGAGTATCTAATATATATAGTATCCTTATAATATTCTAGTCATCTATCATCTCTATATCTAGTATATAAAGTATATAAAGTAGATAAATGGAGTTAGGGTGGACAATGAACAGTATAGCTAGAGTATCTAATATATATAGTATCCTTATAATATTCTAGCCATCTATCAACTCTACATATAAAATATAAAGTAGATAAATGGAGTTAGGGTTGACAATGAACAGTATAGCTAGAGTATGCAATATATGATATTCATAATATTCTAGTCATCCATCATATCTATATCTAGTATATAAAGTAGATAAAGTAGATAAAGTAGATGACAAATTATTTTCCTCAAATAAATGTTCTTTATTAATGCATAGGTTTGTTTATAAAGAGAAAGAATTATTAAGTATCATAGTTTATTGGTTTTTATTATAAATAAAAAAAAAAAAAATTCGTTTTATATTCTTTATTTTGTATTTGTAGGCCATGTCATATAAATTTCATTTATTTGTTTTGCATTATATAGTCTGCATAACTAATGTGCAGCTTGCTCTAGCTGCAATTAAAAGTCGGTCCAATACTTGAATTGCTACATGACAAATAAACAATTAAATTCTTAGTTTTATTGAAATAATTAAGTTGGTTTTTAAAAATCGTAAAAATAGCCCAATACTCATCCCTGATAACAATATAAATTATCTAATTGCTTCTCTTTAAGTACCCATCTATCCGTATATTTATTTATGAAAGGTTCATGAATGGATAGAAATTGTGACCCCAACCGTAAACTATACGGTTCCTTTCAAGCAGAGTTTCCTAGAGCAAACAGTGAAATATAAGAAAGAGACAGTACATTAAATGAATTGTCCTAAAATGTCTGATCTTAGGCTCTCCTACTATCCCCATACTCTCGCAGGTTTTACTCAACTTCTAAGGTGAGGTTTTAAAAAATTCAAATTTTTAAACGATTTTTGCGAATTTTTTACAAAAGTATATTTCAAGATTCAGCTATAGCTAGATTATTCTCCTGTTATGAAGATATTTTGCTGTTTAACGGGGCTTTTAGCGTAATTCCAAATGACCCTCCGTGTAAAGCCCGATTTACACCAGTCTGTCTGTCTGATCAAGTATAAATAAGATATTAATGTTCAGAATTTTCAAAAAATAATTTTTTCCAATTGTGGTTTCTTTACAAATTATCTCATCTTACTATCCCATCCTAGATCCATTAAAGGGACTTTAAGTGTAATTTCAATTGACCCTCCTAGCAAAGATGGCAAATGTCTGTTTTTTGTCTGTTTATTTTCGTTTCTCTTTTAATTTGACTGGAATGGAGATACTGATATTTCGAGTCAGAAATACAAAGTTATCTTCCATATTTTTCATCAGCTTTAGGTTTTAAGCTTACTGTTGTTGTTAATCTGACATTGCCATTTTTGCAAGGAGGTCAGAATTTTTGTATGCAATAACCCTTAATATGTGAACTAAATTCAACAGCAGAAAATTTTTACAAACCTCTTTATCATTTTGCTAGATGCTTCACAACTCAATGTCAAAAGAACTATTTGGAGAGGTCTTAAAGCGTAGAAAGAACAAATAAGAAGGAAAATTAAAATCGAACAGGAAAGAAATTGGAAGGGAATCTCTGATGTCAAGGTTTACACTGTAAATTTTTCCGATGGCGAATGGAGACAATATTAGAGAAGGGGCTAGGAGTTGAGAATAAAGGAAAGCAAACCAGCTCAACTGAATTCAATACAGAGTTCAGAAAAAAGCAAGATCCTTTAAAAAAAGTTCTTTCTTGTTGATTGGCATACTGCAAAGATATCAAAAAATTGTTTTGTTTTTTTTAAATTAGCCAAAATATTATTGAATTATTAAAGTTAATAAGTAATTCCTTAATCCATGAAAAACAGCGGACTTGTTTTTTCAATATATCTAATTTGTCGAGAGCGACTCTTTTGTGGCTTCTAATTGGTCAGATCTATAGAAAATTATCTGAATTCTTTTAAATATCAAAAATACTGATTACTTTTTGAACTGATTAGCAAAAAACATTTGACCCCAGAACAATATGGACCTTAACAGTTTTGGCTGAGAAGGTATAAGAATTTAACCATGAAAGGTAACATGATGGTATGTTACTTGTGTTCCCTGTATGTTGTGCCATCGCTTTCAATAACAAACATTTAAAGGGTCTGCGAATCTTCTTTATTTGTTGGGATAAATAAAAAATTTGAAAATACAATTTTTTTCAAAATAATATTTTAAGGTCTGCATTTGGGCCTGATTGCAAGCACTCTGTGTATGCAGATTTCAAGAGCTTGGAAGAAGAACCTGAACCTAGTTTCTATATTCATGTCATAGAGAAGTAAACAACAGTTTAACCCTATATTGGGGGAGGGGGGGGGGGCTCCTTTTTTGTTTGTTGCTCAAAGATAAATTATAGGTTTTGAAATTCTTAAATGTAACGGAACAAATAATAACTTTCAAATTTTGTGAACATTCATAACAAACAATGTTTGCAAAAAATATTTGGATACAATAATTCAATATCATTCAGGACAAGATATATCTCGGGCTAATTAGGCACCTCTCCCCTCCCACCCCGGGGAGTATAGGGTTTAAACTATTAATTGTCTAAAACAAGATTGAAATTATAAAATTAGTATTATAAATGCTTATGGTCTGAATTGCACTGCAAAACAATTTGTATGTGTATTATAGTTATTTACTGTTAAGTTAAACATTTAAGTGAAATTGTGATGTATTAATTAAAACAAAATAATCAGTATCTGGTTCATATTTGAACCTACGATATTCAACATTTACATCTTTTGGTGGATTTGCAACTTTTTTGAATTTATGTAGATATGTAAAATGTTATTCAAAAGAATGAATATTTAATAAAAAAAGCTTTCATATTATTTAATATAAATTTCCTTTTATCGATTGCAAGGGAGTAAAGTTCCAACCTATGGTAATAGTCCAAATCTGACACTAAGTTAAGTTTAGAATGAAAAAAAATAATATGGAAAATGATCTTTCTTATATTTTCATGGAACCCCCCCACACTCCAACTAGAGGAACCTCTCGAGATTTTTTAATCTGGAAAATCTTCCCGATAGTCAGATATGAGAGAAGTTCTGGCATAATTAGCACAAGTAAAAATACTATTATATACTATTGTAAAGGAAATGAGTCTTTGCCACAAATAACAACTTTCTAATATCTATATATCTACAACCAAATGATGTAAACCTTTGATATTTCAAACTTATATTGTTTGATGTAGCAGAAGTCATAGTTTGAAATATCTAAGGTCTACACCATTGGGTTGTTAATATATACGGATTTAAAATTCAGAGTTTGTGGCAAAAACTCAATTCCTTTGTTTTTAAATGATAAAAATATATAAAAAGTATGTGAACCCCACGAGATGGAATGCGCTAACTGTATATTCTCCAATCCCTTTCATAACTACTGTTTAGATCATTTTCCTGTTTCAAACTGAGTTCCTGCTTTATCTACGCATTTATTGAACTGGTTCAGGCAAATAATAGGAGGTTGTTTTTTTAAAAAGAAAAGGCTGGGGGTTTCAGAAGAACTACACTAGGAGTGCATGGGACTGCTTCATAATATTTCTTAAGAAAAAATTAAAGATCAATCTTTTTCATCCTTTACAAATATACAAATATACAAACATATACATATCATAAATATACAAATATACAAACATATACATATTATAAATATACAAATATACAAACATATGCATATTATAAATATACAAATATACAAACATATACATATTATAAATAAATGTCATCTATTAGACCAATGTATAGAGGGCCATCTCCTGGTTATAAGTAGAGTACTCATATCTTTAATATAATTATAATAATTACATAAATATATATATTCTCCATCAACCCCATCCAATCCATCATCCTTCCATTTATCTGAGACAGATGTTTTTAGATTTTCTTCAACCTGTATTCACCCTATTTTGTTTTCACATCTACGAAATGTCTAATTTATGAAACGTCTTAAGAAGTCAGATCTATGAAACTTCTTATTTCTGAAGTCAGATCTATGAAACGTCATATATCTGAAGTCAGATCTATGACACGTCATATAGATGAAGTCAGATCTACGAAACGGCATATATCTGAAGTCAGATCTATGAAACATCATATATCTGAAGTCAGATCTACGAAACGTCATATATCTGAAGTCAGATCTATATACCGTCATATATCTGAAGTCAGATATATGAAACGTCATATATCTGAAGTTAGATCTATGAAAGTTCATATATCTGAAGTTAGATCTATGAAAGTTTATATATCTGAAGTTAGATCTAAGAAAGTTCATATATCTGAAGTCAGATATACGAAACGTCATATATCTGAAGTCAGATCTATATACCGTCATATATATGAAGTCAGATATAAGAAACGTCAGATATCTGAAGTCAGATCTATGAAACGTCATATATCTGAAGTCAGATCTATATACCGTCATATATCTGAAGTCAGATCTATGAAACGTCATATACTGAAGTCAGATCTATATACCGTCATATATCTGAAGTCAGATATATGAAACGTCATATATCTGAAGTCAGATCTATATACCGTCATATATCTGAAGTCAGATCTATGAAACGTCATATATCTGAAGTCAGATCTATGAAACATTATATATCTGAAGTAAGATCTATAAACTGTCATATATCTGAAGCCAGATCTATAAACTGTCATATATCTGAAGCCAGATCTATAAACTGTCATATATCTACTGTCAGATCTTTAAACTGTCATATATCTGAAGTCAGATCAATGAAACGTCATATATCTGAAGTAAGATCTATAAAACGTCATATATCTGAAGTCAGATCATATGAAACGTCATATATCTGAAGTCAGATCTATGAAACGTCATATATCTGAAGTCAGATCTATGAAACGTCATACATCTGATGTCAGATCTATGAAAGATCATATATCTGAGGTTAGATCTATGAAAGTTCATATATCTGAAGTCAGATCTATGCAAGTTCATATATCTGAGGTTAGATCTATGAAAGTTCATATATCTGAGGTTAGATCTATGAAAGTTCATATATCTGAGGTTAGATCTATGAAAGTTCATATATCTGAGGTTAGATCTATAAAACGTCATATATCTGAAGTTAGATCTATGAAAGTTCATATATCTTAAGTTAGATCTATGAAAGTTTATATATCTGAAGTTAGATCTAAGAAAGTTCATATATCTGAAGTTAGATCTAAGAAACACCCAAATCATTAAAAGTCAATCCACAATAAATGTCCAAGTCTGCTATTTGAAATGTCCTATCCAGATGTAAATGACTATAACATGTATTAAGATACCCATCAGGAAAATCTTTGAATAGATCTATTTGAGAAATGTGTGTATGCGGTAATGTAAATGATTTCACAAATTCTTGATTTTTAAACAACTTTAGCATTTAGAGGAATTGTAAAAACGTTGTTATTTATTTCTTCAGTGAAGGACAAAATACGAATACTTTTTTATTGCATAACATTATGAAGCGACGGACACAATTTGTTTGACTTTTTATCTAAAATAGTTTGAGAAATATTGCAGAGAATCCTTCTTCAAAGGTTGGAAATGATAATTTATCACAGTGCACTGACGTTCAGTTTAGAATTTAATCGCATCCAATTAAATACATATAGACTAGATGTACATAAACTAATATTTGAATTATGCAATAGATGTTACATTTCATAACTTAAACTTTCTAATCTTCTAAAGGTTTATTTTTCCTATCCGGTCCTGCAAACATATGTTTATTTGTCCATGGAAGAGTTTTCGCGGATATTCCGAAAATGTTGAGTAGATTTCTTTAAACTGTCTGAAAAGTTTGCAGTTTATATTAAAATATTAATGAATTGATTACTTAACTATTGAATTCTGAAAGAAATTGATCAGTTGACTGCTGAATACTATATATGAATTGATCAATTGACTGTTTTGAATACTGTTATGAATCATCACAAATGCACATGTTAAAGGAACTAAAGATGCATGCCTTAAACTCTAATTTCGTAGACATTCAGAATTTTACACCTTGAATTCTGCTAGACACAAGGGTTAGAATTCTGACTGGTTTACACCTCCAGGTTGCAAATATATAGGCATTAGAAAATTAAGTTTGAGGCAAAAATAGGCTAATTCTGTGGGAAAATTCGGGATAATAGCTTACAGATGTTTTGCCAAAAGTAATATAAAAAATAATTTTCTGAAAGTGTTCAGAAATATTAGATTTCATTTTTTTACCGACATTTAAAAAAAATTTATTTTAAACTCCTTTTTTAAAGATAAAGAAGAAACTAGAATTACAGATAATAAAATATCAAAGAAAAATAAATCTAATTGAAAGTAGAAATATAAAAAAAATAATTAGAAGTAAATTTAAGAAAACAAGAAAAATAAGATTTTAATTGAGATAAAAGGAAAAACCGTAAATGAATAAAAAATAAATTGACCAAGAAAAAAAAAATAAAATAAAAGATTTCTTTTTTCAAAAGGTTCTTTGTTTTCAGTTTTTTAAGTAATCATCTAGCAGAGTTCGTAGTTTGAAATATCTAACGCATACCACATTGGGTTGCAAAGATAAAAAAATGTCCCAGAAGAAATCTAAATCAACATTTTTATTACCACAAAAAAATGAAGCAAGTTGATTTCCTAATATGACAGTTTCCATTATATTTTTGTGTGTCTAGCTGAGTTGTGGAGAGTTTCGGAAATCGATGCCGGACAACTAATGAGACACAGCCGGGAATTCTCTTTATTTCTGCAAACCCCATATTTTCTCTGAACTCTTTCTTAAAACTACAGCTGGTGATTTAGACGATTTAGTCAAACGTAGGTGAAGTAAGTTTTAGTTTTTGGAAAAAATTTTATTTTATTTTAGAATTTACTGTCACGTCTTAATCTTTTGCAATAAGACTATAGATTTCAAAAAGAAATTTAATTGTTGCCACAAACTCAAATTTTCCAATCCCTTTATCTATAGACCTTATTGTTTGAAATAAAAAGGTCGACATTAGGTTGCAAAGATTATAAAATTAGAATTCTTGGCAAGAACTTCTTTGTGGTTGTTATAAAACTGTAAGTTTGCACCGGCCATCAGTACCTTATATCCTTAGAATAAGAACAAATTTTGTTTCTATTCAGTATTTAACAAAGGAATTGAGATTTTGTCACAAACTCTGATCCATATATCCATATATCTTTGAAACCCAAAGTTGTAGACCTTTGATATTTCAAACTATGAAATCTGTTGAATAATCTGATTTAAAAATATCAAATCTGTATTCTTTTCTTTCTTTCTTTTTAAATAAAAAAATTCACAACAAAAACAATCGATGATTGGAATCTTGTTTGCAAAAGTAGGTTTAAAACAATAAGAAAAGTGAGTTTCAATTTAACTTTTCAACGTGACTTCTTTGCTATTTAAGTAGATAAGTGACTTAAAAAAAAGATCATTTTGTTTAAAGGAATTTTTTTTTGTCGCACACGCAAATGTTTTTAAACTTATATGTTTGCAACCCGATGATGTATACCTTTGGTATTTCAATCGTTAGCTATTTGATCTAACAAAATTTTTTTTTTAAATATCATAGGTCTATTGTGTTTTTAAGATAAAGGGATAAGAAAATCAAGTTTGTGAGAAAGACTTAATTCCTCTGATTGGTTTGACAATTGTGAAAGAATTTGTACTCTCTATATATAAATACTCCTTTAACGATTGTAATTTATCCGACAGTGTTCTCCTCTAAACAATAAATAGAAGAAATAAATCTTTGTTTCCAATTTCTTTCCTAACCCTTGCACTCCAACTACAGGGTGTATCTGCCATAGTTCTAGA